AGCAGGGTTTTGTGAATGTCAGTGGTGTTTAATGATGGACTCAGGTGCCTACAGAGGCAATTCATCACCATAGCCCCATTGAATCTAGCTACTGGGATTCTGCTTTCCAGGGATTAGGCTTTCCAAATATTCACCTTTAGGCAGAGACCAGGTCTGGAAACTCATCTCTAAAAGGAAATATTTAGGGAAATTGTGTCTCTTTTAGCTACAGTAGTGATCATGAGCCACTCAGCTGTTGCGGTGAAATGTTTAAGAAAGTTGCTTTACTGTAGGGTGCTCAGAAGAAAGAATTTTTGAAATATTTCAAGTCAGCCTGAGAGCTAACCGTCATCAATGGGCTGGAAATGGCCACAGGAATGGGTAAATTTCCCCAACCCATTGGAAACAAAAAGTGAACCCTGGAGGCTGATACTCCTATTAGGCTGGATCTTTTCTGCAGCTAAACCTTTAGGATCCGACATACTCATGCATATTTCCATACAGTTGCCTGGAAAGTTTCCAGAAACACTTTTTCCTTCATGTGTTATAATCACTCACATGGATCTGCCACCTGCTCAGTTTTAGGGGAAGTTGCTTTGCAGTTATAACTGAAAACATGGAGTTTCTTAAGTGGCATGTTTACTGTTTAGGGAAGTTTGGAAAGAAACTGTTCAATGTTGCAATTGTTATTAACCATTTCCTAGTACGGCTATTTACAGGACCTCTCCACTCTGCTTTAGGTGGGAGGGCAAGGAATTTTTAGGGTATATTTGGTCAGCATCTTCGGTTGAAGTAGGAAAGGAAAATAAGTGGCAGTACCCAATTTAGGTCTCAGATGCCCTGCTCATTATGTAAAGTACATAAAAAGGTGCCCTGGGTAAGATGTTTTCATGACATATTCTGAACTAGTTGCTATAACTTAAACACGATGAATTGGTCCTCAGGGCAGAACCAGATAAACTGGAAAACATTTTTATCTGGATCTCTTTATCTGGAAGAGTCCTTGTTCCACTAAAGCAGCTGAAACTAGCATCATCATTCCTGTCCCGCTGTAGCTCCATACAAATCACAGAAAACCAAAGCTGTGTAGATGGATATGTACCTTTGTGTCTGTGTACATGAACATGCAGCTACATGGAAAGACAAGGAGACAACACTCAAGAGAGCTAATTTGACACTGAGCAAAGACAAAAGGAATGGGTGGGGTGGGGGAAACAATGAACATCTGCTACAGAACAGAGAGGACAAGGAGAACGGACATTCCTGGAGGCCAAAGCCACTGGACAGTGCGCATGGGTGATTTTAGAATGCTTTGTCTTATCAATTGTCCCAGTGCCGTTTTTCTTGCACATGCAATGAATACCAGTGTCTGATGGGCTGGAATGGACAACATTTGCAGTAGTGCAGCTGTTTTAGAGGTGCCCAGGGGGTCCTCACAATCCCTGAGTTCCTGGAGCACTTTCAGGAGGGCAAGGGTTAGAGAGGCCACCTCTTTGTAGAATTTAAGCTAAGTAGGTTTTTAATAGGGATGTGTGAAGCTTCAGGTAGTGATTCGATTCAGAGGAGAGTCAGCCCGATTCGGTGGCTGAATCTCTGGATCTGAATCGAATCAGGGGACCGGTTTAAAGGTCTCCGAATCTTTTCTGAAGATTCAGAGAGCTTCCATGATTCGGGCAGTCCCTGGTGGCTGCAGCAGGGAGCTGCAGCTGAACTCCGACCTGGTAAATACTAGGAGTGGGGAAAGGGGGGGCTGGGGGTGGGGACAATGGGGAGACACCTGCCAGCTCCCTGAACCCCCACCCGCTCCCCCAGCCCCGCCATGGCTGCCCTTGCCTGCCCCAGCTTCTGGTCCTTTAAACAAAAGCCCTGGTGCTCACCGGGTGCCGATGGATGGTGGTGGGGGGGGTGATCCCTGCTGCCCCACACTGCTTCAGCGGCTCTGCCATGAGCCCTCTGATCCCCTCCCCCTCGCTTCCCCAGCCTCCCACCGCATGAGTGCCCCACCTGGGCCAGCTCTGTCCCTTTAAAAAAACAAAACCCAGAAAAGCCTTGGGACTCACCGTTCCTGCAGTGGCCTCGGGGGCTTGTGTAGAGCCCCCTACGTGGCACAGGGCAGCGAGGGGCAGCAGGGATCGCCCCCACTGGCAGGAGTGGTGAGTCTGGGGTTTTTTTAGGTTTTTTTTTTTTTTTTCTTAAAGGCCCAGAGCTGGCCTAGGCAGGGCTCCCATGGGGGGGCTTGGGGGCTCATGCAGAGCCCCCCATGCAGCGTGGGCCAGTGGGGGGCAACAGGGATCGCCCCCTGCCTGGCAGCACCCGCTGAGTCGAGGCTTTTTTTTCCAACAAGTGCTGGGATCTGGGGTGGATGGGGCAGCCGTTGCCAGGCTGGGGGAGCGGGCAGGGGATGGGCCTGGCTGATTCAGAGATTTGGCAGCAGCTGAATCTCCAAATCAGAGTCGGCCGAATTGAATCGGGACAGTGATTCGAATCACCAAATAGAATCACTGTCCCCCGAATCGGCCGAATCCGAAGCAAATACTAACCGCTTCGCACAGGCCTAGTTTTAAACACTAAGGGCACTATCCAACTCCAACTGATGTCCTCTGAAAACCTAAAAGTCAAAACACAGATGCACATATTCCACAAGGCTATTTACTCTCTCAGAGTTACAGAGGCATTGTTCTCTAGCCTTGAGGCCAGATACTGTTCTGGCTTGAATGCAAATTTTGCTAAAAGCTCTTAAACCCTTTGGAGAGTTCAAAAGCTCAGGGTTACCATATATACCATTACACCTAATGTGGATGAAGTGCAACAAAGGTGGTTGTTCAACAGGAACTAGTAGTGAAAACAAAGAACGTTCTTCACATTCTCGGTACTTTTTAAAGGTACAGTGACATAAAAATCACAGCAGGGACTAGAAACAAGCTGAAGTCAAGCAAGGGAGCTGTTTGGTAGGAGTGTATGGGAAACTGTACAGGCGGCACCAGACTCACTCTTCAGTGATGGGGCACATTGGACATGTGGGATTCCAGCTGGTTGGACACATGGGGTGTGCAAACCGCACCAGTTTATTGCTATGTGCTAATTCCATGTGTAGATGCACACACTGAGGATCAGCAGCTGGAGGAAGAAAAATAGGACAACGAAACAACGAGTTACATATGCACAAACAGTTTCATTGTGCAAGTAGGAGAGCCACCAGGGATTTCAGGAGATTCTTCCTGGGAGACAGTATGGTTAGATAGCTGGGTGCTGTTCTCAACTTGTGGAGGTTAGGAAACATTGCTCACTCAGAAGGGTTGGGAAGGGCCTAGTGCTATTATTGGCATCCAGGTAGAGAAATTAATTCAGAAATCTTGACTACTGTTCCCTGCATGTTTCCTTACCCATGAAGATGTCC